ATTATTTGAAAGCCATGTGTTGCCGCTTTCTCAAACAGAACACTTGTTATTTCTATACACCAACGTACTGCAACTCAGTAAAGAGTAAGCTATTTAATTTTCAAATTTGATCTTTCAGTAATTGAGTAACGGTAGGATACGAACTGCGCGAAATTTAATTGAAGACTCTCTTCTTATCTAATCCATGAATTGCGCAATGTTTTCCTGTCCCCTCTTTCTAACCTGAATTTCCAAGAAGATGGGTGCTACAAAAAGCCCTTTATCGCCATTAATGGGGCATTTTATTGATATTACAAGCCTCTATTTTCGTTTATCAGATATTGTAAAAACTGAGCATACAAAACAAATATTAATTTAAAATCTGGCGTGCGTTAAAGTAAAAATGAATTTCTTTTACATTTATTTCAAAGTTTTGTGATGCTTAAAAGAATAATGAGCCAGATCTTTTTTATTCTCTATAAGAATTAAAACTTTCCAAGTTGTAGATTTCAGCTGATGATATATATATATATATCAGTTTTGAATAATAAAATTGATAGATTAATGACATACATAAAACTGATACATAATGAACCTATCAAATATCGGATTTGTAGCGTACATTAAATAAGTTTTCTTGTTTAGATAAATATTAACAAATTGTCTTAGATAGTAGAATGATTTTAACTTTCAAATTTACCATTTTAAGTAAACAGTTCTAATTTAATTTAAAAAACTTTCTTTATTAAATCCACAAATTGGATTTTTAAGTTGTTCTAAATTCACACTTATATTATTGCAATATATTGTCGTATTAAGCTTTTCATTTTTAGTCATTAAAGTTATTTTAAGGTTATTTAACTTTCTTACAAAGTTCATATTTTTAATACTAGAAACGTTTAAATATTTATTTTGTTTTCCAGTTGCTCTACCTGATGTACTTTGGCATACATTTAATTTCTAATACACATTTAATTAATAAATTGATAATTATGAGCGTCTGCAGAATTTTCATAATTAATAAAAAATCGAACTCTCTTATATTCATATCTTGGGATTTTGAGTTCCCTTTTTATCCACTCCTTTTTCACATATTGTTGCACTGTATTCAAGTTTTCATGTACTTAGAATTTATATATTTTGTATTGTATTTATGCCAATTTATATTTAAATGATAATTTTTATTAATTCTTGCATCATAACTCTAATTAAGAGAAGATATTTCTAACACCTTGGTAAAGCTTAATCTTCAGCATGCAGCTTATTTTCTAACCTAGTTTCAGGCTGAGTTATTTATAAAGTTAATTATTTGAAATTATTTCTTAGCAAATACGGTCGCTAAATCACGCTAATAATATTTCTAAATGTAATTTATAATGCAACGAATTCATGTGATTTATAATATAATTCATTTATATTTTTTTCAGCAGTATTGAAATTCACAGCAGATACTGATAATGCTATACATTTAGGTTACAATGATTTAGATTGTCACTGCCTTCTTCGTTGATGCTTTTATGCTACATTCCTATTACTTCATACACACATTATTATTATCCTATTACATCCTTCATATACTACACACAAACATACGTACGTACGTACTTATACCATGAAAAAATCTCTACTGAATCAATTTTAAATCAGTTTTATAATTCGTTTGGGGAAACGGAGTCCTTTATTCTGTCCTTACATACAGATGTTACGCAAAAACATTGTTAAATTGCATTCGATAGCTGTAAAAATGGGTATTTTCGTTGAAATATGGTCCCCAAAATTTTTCATGGTTACAATGCTTCATTTACAAGGAAGTAAAAAGTATAAATTAAAACGACCCGCTAATTTTATTCAGATATTTCCAAGTACACAAACTTTTGCATCCCAATTTTTAGTTTTTGGTTAAAAAAAATAAGCTTTTATTTATTCAGAGGCTTGATTGATTATATTAATTTGCAGTACTGTTTATTTAATTCTTTTCTTCTAGATAAATTTTAGAAAAATCTTCTTAGCATAATAATTTAAATTTATTTAAAATTTATGCGTCAGTGTTCCAAACGCATAGTAATGTTGTTATAATAGATTTTATGCTAATTTTTTTAAACTATTAATTTCTGAAAACGAATACGAGGGTAACAAAACGAATACGAGGGTAACATTATTACTTTAAGTAACAAAAAATATTTCTAGCACATTTTAACACAATTTGATACGGAATAATCTTTTGCACGCCAGTGAACTATAATATTAAATTTTCCAGTCTAGTTCAGACATCACGACTATTATTGATGTAATTTATAAAAAATATAATTGGTATGCTTTATAATTATTTAATTTATGATATTATTATAATATTCTTTGCTGTAACGTAATTAATGAAAGATGTTTGTAATGCTTTATTACCGTTATTCAAGTAATTAGCTTGCTTGTTAGATATTCTTTACTTGTTCACGTGATATGTAATTCTATTTCTTTATTTTTATTTTCCTCTTGGCTACAATTGGCTTCGAAAAGTAAAATTGTAACCCTTTAGTTCCCCGGCAGGAAACGGGGGAATAAATTTTGATTCGTGCAGTCCCAGACGAGGAGGAAGAAGTTTTTATTCACGCAGTTGGAGTATATCCCTGAGTAACAGAAGAAAGCAATGCTTAATAATAAAGCCTTTAAAAACAAAATACTGTGTTAGCAGAAGTGACAGCAAACTACGGCTTGTGGTAAGTAAGTCTAAAAGCAAACTAGTAACCTGCGGTACTCAGCGAGAGCATAAAAAACCTTAAGAATACACTGATGCGACGTTTAAATCTGAATTTTTTACTTACGTTGCTTTTTTATCGATATGGCATTAGATTTCAATGAATTGTCATTTAGGTATGCTGTCTCATCAAAGGGGAATTTCATTTGAGTTTTTAACTTTTCGAAGAAATGCTTTGGTTTACAGTGCGCAAATTGCGTGGCATAGTAATGTACAAAATGTTGGCACTTGCAGAAAAGCCTATTTGCAAGCCTAGTGCGTCAAGAATCCCCAGACCTTTTAAAAAAGAACTGCATCTTGAATTATTGACTCTTTTTTTTTTCATATAGTAATTGCAAAAATGTCCTAAAGGCTTCTTTTAAAATTGGAATGTCACAGCTAGTCGTTTCCCTCCTCCTCTTCTGTTTGGCATTATTTCTTAAAACAACTCGTTTAGAGCCCCCGATTTTATGTTTTGTATCTTGAATTTCTGTGGATGAATTTAGTAGCCATTTTCTAATTATTTAGCTTTAAACTGCTTTACAAGTTACACGTTATCTAAATACAGTGGTAAGATTGCTTTTTAAAATAATTTTCATAATTCTTTAGTATTTTAAAAGATATTTTGAAATTTTTTGTTGATAAAAAACTATTTTGATGTATTAAACTGTAATCCGAAATTTTCAGGTCGCGTCGCTTTACATTTTTAAGTTCAGAGAGGAGAGAATACTATAAATAAATTCGAGAAGAGCTCAAATTTTTATTTTCTCAGCCCATAATAAAGGAGAAAATGCAATGTCTAAACTTCAGATTACGTTATAATACCTTGTAGAGTTTACCGTTAAAAACGTAAAATACGTGAACGTGTAAAAATTTAAAAACAAAGTAACAAACCAGTATTTTCCAACTTTCGGTCATAAAATTAAACCTCTAACCTCTACTGTCGAATAGCATTTACATTCAAAAAAGAATTTCGAATTTTAAAGCTCCGACGTTAGTTTCTGCACTTTGAAGCGTAAAAATGTATAAACAGGAAAATATCAAAATATTAAGCGGGCATATTTTTTAACACACACACACACACACACCATTTAAAAAAAAAAAAAACACTGAAAGCTTTCAGATTTTACATTACGCTCAAAGGGACGTCTTTTTTAACGTTTTGTGTGTTACCTTTAATTATTAAACATCATGTTCTTCGCACTTAAACCACAAAATTCAATTCAAAGGCAATATCGCAAAATAATTTTAAAACGAGCATATCTTTAGAATTTCCGACACAGTCTCACAAATACTGGAGATAAAATTGTTTTTTATTCCCCCGTACAGTGTTGCCATTACTCGCTTTGAAATTGTTGAGTTTGATAATCAAAAATTCGTTAAAGTGTTGCAAAATGTGAAATCGTTAATAAAACAAATTCAAAACTAAAAAATTAGGGCTTCCAGATGCCCATATTCGGTGGAGGATTACAATATTCAAAATTGGATGGCTCTATGTACCGTTGTTTTATCACAATGCGAGAAACATACATACATTTATGCAGATTCTTCATTATTTAATTTTTTTAAATATAACACAGGGCGATAATATTTGGTGGCAACAATTTGGAAAGTGAAAAGTTTTAAAAACATAGAGAGAGAGGGAGAGAGAAATATGTAAAGAGCTCTAAAATTTATTCTAAATACTTCATACAAATAGAGAGGGTTGGTAGAGGGTTGGAAGACCCGCGGACCCGTCATCCATGGTGCTGTCCATGAAAATTGGAACAGCAATTCCCCTTTCTCGTAGATTTAAAATAGGTCGCCCCTTCTGATGCACTTTGGACAATGTTCTCGGTGATGATACGAGTACCGATGGGTACTGACCATTGCCGATGAGCGCATTAATTACTAATGTCAAGCCATTGGAAACAACAATTTGGTATATAATAACAGCTGTTAAAGAACGTTGTTAAAAATTTCATATAAAGTGACATCTAAAATGATCAACACTTTTATGACATAAAAGACGTTATAGACTTAAGTGAATGATCTTTTTCCTCGTATTCAGCAATATGTCTGTTTATGTTGAACTCGATTTTATCGAACTGAAAACGAAAAACGATCATTGAGGTTATAAAAATACTATCTATACATTCCTTATGAACTTAATAAAGGAGGAGAAAAACATATTAATAATGATATTAGTAATTTCAGTTTAGACGCTTCCCAAGAGGCGAGTTTTATTTGAAAATGCTGCAAAAGAATTAAAAGTTGAGAAACCGTCTCTAAACTCACGACATTTCTTCCACAGGTCAGATCGGTGGATCTCTCGGCCTATATCTGGGTGCCAGCATCATCACCTCTGTCGAACTAGTTTCTTTCGCACTTATGTATCTGTGGTACAGATGTCTACCTACAAGAAGGAGGAAGGTGCATCAGGAGATCATCTACCCAGAAGGAAGAATTGCGTATTTCAAATGAAGATGCGGTGTTTGTAACGTTTGCGGAAGTGAATGCTTCATTGAATTTCCAAGTCAACAAGTATCATGTGATCGAATTTTCAACATAAAGAAATGAACAAGAATTAAAAAATAATAATGTAAAACTAAAAGGAAAATATGAAGTGGACACCACGAGACTTTCTCGTACAGCCTATTACATTATGCACATTTTTCTCCACTTTATTTAAACTTATTTCTTTGAATTAAATATAATAAACAGATCCTTCAAGGCAAGTTGAAAAGGATATCAAAACTGCTAATTTTGAAATTAAATGCCCCGGTAAATTCTTTCGTACGATAGTCAAATTTCTTTTATTTTTTCATAAAGAGTATAACACTTTCCCAAATAGGAACCGGGACATCGCATTAAAAGTTAGATTTTTTTCATTTGCCCAAAATTAATTTTGTTTTAAATTTGCCAAAACCTGAATATTTTCGTCATGTAAACCACTTCTGTATTTTTGCTGCATTTCCCTTAAACTTGTTTCCTCGAGTTATTCTAAATTAATTAATTCCTCAACGCAAGTTTAAAATGACATCAAAAACTGTAAATTTTGAGATTAAATATCCCGGTCAGTTTTGTCATTTAAAATACTTCTGAAATTAGAAATATATGACTACAACCAATGATTGCTAAAATAAAAGCCGAGTAAGGAATTTTAAGCCGGGTAAAAGGGCATTTATATAAACACGTTTGGTACTGCCGATTGCAAGCACAACTAAATATTATAAAGGTACCATATCCACAATTTCAACGTTCTCTGACTAATAGTTTTTGAGCTATGCGAAATATATACATACGTACACTGCTCAAAAAAAATAAATAAATAAATAAAATAGGACAGTGCTATATCTCCCGTTCTACTGGGCCGATTGACAAAATTCAAATTGCGTTTTTCATCTCTCGAAAGCGCGACTTAGGATATATATTAGATCTATATATAGCACTATTCTAACATAGGTATTTTGACACAAAATCGGACTTTTTCTGAAATAACATACCAAATTTTTTCCATATTTCGATTCTACGTCTCAAATTATGCCAGAATACCAAGTTTTGTAAAAATCGTACGAGTAGTTTTTAAAATATTAGCTCTCAAAATTTTAGCTCCTCAATGTTAATTGAATTTGGCAAATATTTATTAATATCTCTTTTTTATTAAACTTTTTTTTGGTTTTTCTTTTCACATTTCGAAATTTAGGTTCATTCCAAATAAAATTTATATCCATTTTTTGTGTTTTATTTTTTAAATTTCTATTTTTAAATAATTTTTATAAATTTTTCGAAAAAAATTTTGAATTATAACCTATAAAACTTTTACCATCATCTTAAAGTAGGTGTATTTTTTAAGCATATCTGCAAAAAATTAGACTTTTTTATTCAAAATTTTCTAAGATATACACGAATTTACATATTTTCGAGTTTTGAAATTTGGCATCTTTTTTTTTGAGCGATAATAACGCCAAATGTGGTCTATGGTTTTTTTGTTACAGTGAATTGCCACAGCTATTTTTAACCTTAAATTTCAAGTAAATTTTACGGAGAATTAATTATATGACATTTTTTCCCTCAATGAAGCGTAATAAATATTTATTAATACTATATGAAAAGCTATTTTTTTAAATTATCGATGATATTATTTAAATTTTTAACTATTTTTTTTAAATTTCTATCTATCTTCCTTTTTAAAAAGAAATAACAGTAAATTTTTACCTTCGGCGTTTTATCGTCTGCTAGTTTACTTCGTTTAAATCAAATTGTCTAAAACTGAGAATTTTCGTTTCATATTTATTTGAATTTTATGACATTAACTGCATAATTTATTTCTAAACAAACTGTTGCTTTTGAAGTGGCTGAAAGAGCGGCTGATACTATCATCCACATTTTTAAAGCACAGTATATTTTTATAGAAACATAATATTTAGAATAATCATTTTTATAAAAGTCAAATTATGATATAAACATACAACCCTCTAGAGACTGAATTAATGGAAGTTCAATGGTTATGTAGAAATGATCTGCAGCTACTTAATGGGATGCTTCGTGGCTGAGTAAGTCAGCAGATTCTGTGGACAAGTAAGAATAATTATATAAACGACACCAACATTCTGGATTCAATTAACAACGAGGATACGATGTTTATTAAATGAATTTAAGAAGTTTTAAAACATAAAAAACCAACTCATTTTTTATCCTAAAATGTATTTTTGTGCGTAGCGTATTTTCATTATATCCTTAAAATTCTAATTTAGAATGTAATTGTCAAGAACTGAATCCTAATCATCAGTAATATAATAAGTAATTATTACGGTTATTAATAAATCCTTCTTATAAAGTAATTGCAAATATTTCAAAAAACTTTCTGTCTGAATGCAAATATTTTTCTATGCAAATATTTTAAATTTTATATTAATCAAGATTGCACACGATATTATTTATTTGCACTTCAATTCTTATCGTCAGTTTCAGTAGAAGTTACAAATCAATGATATTTAATTAAGGATTGGATTGGATTATTTAATTATGGCAAAGCACATGAGGGCTATCTGCCTAAAGGGAGGGATTTTTTCGTGGAGGACTTTCTAAGGTAAACTGGCTCGTATACACGTTACACATGGGGAAAAACCACGAAAACGCCCATGCAACCAGCCCGTTCGCGGGATTCGAACCTCGGACCGAACTACCAGTGTTCAGCGTCTTTACCGCTCGGCCGCTGGTGGGCTATTTAATTAAGGAATGACCATCTAAGTTTAGAAACAGCGTACCGTAACAGCAATTCAATTATTGGCGCCGTATCTTTCATGTTACTCCCGATTGGCAAGCTACATGATTTTTAATGAGTATTCGGGTTTTGCTAGTAACTTCACTTGGAAATCGCGCTTAAACTAGGTTAGTTGGTTATTTGAACATAGAAAGAACATGGGAGCTATTTGATTAAGATGCTTTCATAGAGAACCTTTGTAAAGAGAACCTAGAAAACTACGAAAACCAACCATGCAGCCTGGGTTAGACTTCGCAACAAACAATTAGTATTTAACAATCTTCAAATGCTAGGCAACTGGTGAGGCTCCAATTAAATCTCCAATTTAATATTTTATTTGTAAATATTTAAAATATTGTTGTATTCTTAGACACAAAAAGCAGAATTTAAGTTTTGTTAACTCGTTAGTAAACTACCAAGCCGTAGTGCAAATGAATATTCAATTTCTTTTGCAATAATTGTATTCACTTAATATTCTTGGAATATGAGCTAAAGAAGGAACGTTCTCGGAAGATTAAAGAAGTGTTTAAATCCAGTGATATTAGGTTTGTCTTACAAGCTCAGGATCAAAACGATTCTGCAATTGCCCGAGTAGTTGACTTGTAAATGGCTGTGAATTAAGCAGATGACTTTTAATCTTACGTTTTCAGTCAGAAAACGTATTCCAAATGTTTTGTATTGCATGACAATGCATCTTTTCATTATTCAATAACCAGTCGGAGAACCGCTTGTGTTCCGAAAATAAGTATGTGTACTCAATCGTCCTGCATGTTCTTCAAATTTGTCTTCTTGTGATTTTTTTTTTCTTTCCCAAAAACTAAAGTTGCCTCTCAAAGGAAAGTTTTTTGACATTGAAGAGACAAAAGGAGTATGACATCTACTTTTAGAGGCATGTCAAAAACAGATCTCTACAAGCCTTCTCTTCCATTACATGTTGTGCATTCAGACAAAAAGTTGCATCAGCGTAAATTCTATAATCTATTTTTATTACACTCTGATTACTTTATTAACATACAGTGAATATATACTAAATCTTTTACTTCAGCTTAAGTAATTCGGAATTTTTGACGGAATTGTTGTCGGAACTAGGACTTAGAAGATAAGTCAAATTGAAATATTTCGATAATCCAATAAATTCAAGGTCGAAGTTTCAATATTTTATTTTCGGAGGGAGGGGAAATTTTTTCAGTTTTGGTCCATTATCCTAAGTATATTTGCTTCGATTCTTTATTTTTTTCCATAAAAGCGAAAATTTACGCATGGTATACATATAACGCATAGCTTCAAATTAAAATTTAATAATATACAGAGTGGTTATAATTAAAGTTCCACATTTGAAACGGTCATAAAAGGAAAACTACTGGATCAAATGTTATCAAACTTGGTAATCGTGTAAAGGAGGTCATGGGAATTTATTTTCCGCGAAAAAACGGAAGTTCGAAACCTCACCACCAGGGGGAAATGGCGCTGTATGCAATATTGTTAAACGAAATATGGGTCGGAATCTAACTTAACCTTTTGTTACACGGGTTTAATATGTTGTATACCCTTAAGAAACTTTGAAGTAGGCAAATTACCATTTAAAAGCGTTAAATTCAATAAAAGTCGAGTGCGCCATCCGTGTAAGTGAGAAATTCGTCCGTGAAAACCACGAATTAGCGATTAGAAAATGTGAGATCGCAAATCACTCGCACAAGTGCGTACAATCTGGAAATCGTTTTCTTACAGATCGCTAATTTGTAATTTTTGAAGCCTGAATTCGGCACCTAAAACATGAAGATACTGATTCAAAACGCTTTTAATCGATTTGGGCCAAAGAAATCTCCTCATGTTATCTATCTAGTTCCATTGCATTCTCCTACTGCATTCGATTGCATAGCAGTCATTTCACACCGTTTGGTGTTTCACAGCTAGTTTAATAACTGAATCATTTTTCTCTGAAGAGCAGTTGACAGCTGGACCAATGTGATTGCAGCTCGCTTGAGTCAATGTTAAAATGTTTCGTGATACATGAACTGCAGTAACGTGGCATTTTAGATACTACGATTTTTATACAGGGCTGGGCCCCACCTCACATGTGTCGCACAGTTACTTAGGCAACATTTCACGAATGAACGTCTTATAGGCCAACACTTCCCCTCTTCCCACCAGACCTCAACCTCTGTGACTTTTGGCTATGGGGTTATCTCAAAAGCACTGTTTATGGTGATAATCTAAACAATTTGGCAGAAATGAAAAATGTGATACACTGACATGTCCGTAACATTCCTCCTGATATGCTAAGAGCTGCTGTTGAGAATGCAGTAACAGGATTTAACTTGCTTTCGGAAAATGCTGGACGCTACATTGAACATGCTTTGTAACACGTTTCGGAAAATATTAAACACATTTTAAACAGATGTTTTCGTGTCTTATTTCATTTAACAATATTGTATACAGCGCCATTTTTCCCCCTGGTGGTGAGTTTTTGAACTCTTTTTTTTTTTTTTTCCGCGG